TGCATGGTCGACCAGGGTCCACAGGATGGAGAGAGAAACAGCTCATCCGGACATTCAGCTTCCAATCGCTCCAAGGAAAGCTTCTGATGCTGAGGGTCATCAAAGTCCCAGCCAGTTGAGTAGCCAAAGACTTCCACCTGAGCACCAAGAGCAGCTGCCACTGAAGACAACCGGCCATGACTTGTGTAAACCTCCCAAATCAAACGAGGTTTTGGCGTTGAGTGGAGTTCTTGGGTCACATAGCCATGGTAGCTGTTGTGGTCCTCCAGAATGCACTGCTCAAAGGTTTGGAGCTGGTGAGGCCTGAGCACTTGTTCTCCAAAGTCCAATGGAGTCTCCTCGAAGTCCATCGTGGAGAAGGCAGCTTCTTCAGTGGTGAACTGCCGGAAGGTGATGCATTGTGGATCCACCTCCCCATCAGGAACAAGCCGCAGGTCGAAGTCCAAAGACCCAAAGTCCATAATCGGCTGCTCTGGATTCCAAAGGGGCAAGAGATATTCTCCATGAAGTCCAATTGTGGCAGTCTGCCACGCCCCATCATGAAATCGCATGGCTCGTGAGGCAAAGTTCATTGAAAGTCCAAGAGCCTCTATGATGGGTCGGCCACAAAGCAATGGGGTCTCACCAGCAAGCAAAAACACCTGAGAGCTGCCCAAACGTCCATCCAAGCACATGGGCAATTGTACAACCCAGTGGCTCCATGATTCACCGTCTCCTCCAAAGTGGAACTTGTGCCGGCAGCGGTTGAACTTGACCCCATCGACGGGATAACCCTGGGACTCGAGGTACATCAGATACCTGCGAGCTGGGCCAAAACCGCTCAAGAATGCCGATGCACCTGGGTCCAACATGGCAACATCAGGACGTTCATGACCTTGTGCATCTTGAAAAGTCACATGGGCATTCTCAGTCAAAGCCATCGACTCAACTGCTGGTCGCTTAACACCACTTTTGGCAGGAACTGGGCAATTTGCTGCAAAGTGGCCAGGTTGTCCGCATCGGAGACAAGTCAAGGTCGCCTTTGTGCGGCCACGAGGATCCACACCCTTCGCAGGAGGCTTGGTGTACTTGTAGGTGGAGGAAGGCTTGCCCTTAGAGGAGGTGCCTTTTGACTTGCCCTTCTTCCCTTTGGGAGATGACCCAGCTGAGGAGGGTGACAAAACACCTGGACTCACATTGCCGGCAGCGGGGTCTGTCAAGGCAACCACAGGCAAATAGCCTCTTGAAACTTTCAAATCATTGAACCTCTTTCTGGCATCCAAGTATGCTGCATATGCCTGGTCATATGATTCCACGTCATGCCAGGGATGCTCTTCAGCAGTTTCATCATCATATTGGTAGTATGCAGCACTTGAATCAAAAGCTTCGGGGTCCTCGTAGTACTCAGCCTCATCATGGTGAGATGGTGAAGGATCCCATTCATAGTATCCAGACTCATCCCATGCCTCTGAACCATCATAGTCCTCGGTGCCATAGAGCTCATCATCCACGTACTCATCCTGGACGTTGTAGGACCGTCCACGATGCCCTTTGCCTTGCCATCGACGCTCAAGAAGTGGACCTGATGCGGCACGATGGTCTTGGCCAAGCACCAAGTACAGAGCTTCGATGACCTTCTTCTTTTCCAACTGAGGGGCACGAAGATTGATGAGCTGGCGCTGTTCCTTGGTCAAGTTGCACTTTCGAAGCAAGTGCCATCCCTGAACTGGCTCAGGAAGTTCGATGCCATGTCGCTGCAGCCTACGGTTGTATTCATCATGAAGTGTCACATATTCCATGATCGACTGTCCAGATTTGCGGGACATACCAAAATATGCATCAAAGTCCCCAGGCAAACGAACTCGGTCATCATATTGAAAATGTTGATCCAACTTCTTCATAATGTCATCAAACGTGTTTTCACCTTCTGCAGTCGAAACATCAAAATCTTCCAAAAGACGCCATGCAGCACCAGTAAGAGAACTCACGATGTTCAGAATGGATTCACCACCCCGTTTTCCCAACTTCATTTTGTGGTGATACAGGGTGATCCGACGACGCCATTCCCGATAGTCCTCAGGCTGTCCTGTGAAGGTCGGGATGAAAGAATCCCGCAACAAACTGCTAGGGCTCGCTTCAGCAGAAATCGGCGATGCTGAAGCACTCATGATTGTGTGATCACACCTTCGAATTCCAGGATCTAAACGTGGGGCTGGAAGGTCTGACCAAGGTACTTGGTATTCACAAGAAAGTAGTCCAGCTCCCAAGATCCAGCTTGGGCTCAGCCAGCCAAGGAAGGCCGGCTCCGCTACCAATGCAAAGACGACAGCTGAGGTCCAACCGTCAAGCTAAGCCGCACGAAGTGCTTAGCTGTCAAAGTACAATGCGCTCTTTTCACAAGAGCCAGCGCAGCCATTGAAACGTCGACGCCCACCCTTGAACCAATTGGCAAGGAAAGGCAAATGAATTCCAACTCGGTCGAGTTTCACTGACATGCAAACATCAAGTTGAAATGGTGAAAATGAAAAGGGAAGGTATGTCACAGCATGAAACCTAAGTGCATGGCATGCAACTTCGCACATCTAATTACACGGCACTGCGCTAATTACACTGCAACTACTATAACTACTACTACCACAGCTACAACAACAATATCAACTACACCACATTACACTATACTGCGCTAATTAAATTGCAGCACGCTACAGCTACAAATACCAATTCAACTGCAGCTACACCAGATTGCACAACACTACGCAACATAACACTACACTACACCACACCAATTACATTGCATTACGCTACAACTACAACTACAACTGCAACTACAAGTAACTAAATTGCATCACACGACGCTACTCTAATTACACTACGCCACGCTACAACTACAACTACACTACCTTACGCTACACTACACTAGACTGCACTACACTAGACCACACTACAGTACACAACGCTACAGTACACTACAATACACTGCACTAATTACACCACACCACAACTGCAACTGCAACTGCATCTGGAACTACTCTACACTTATTACACATTACAAGTACGACTCCACTGTACCACACTACAGCTACAACTACAACTACAACTACAACTGCACTACACCCCACTACATCCAGCAGTTGTGGGTGAGGCGACCACTGCAACCATTGCAACCACTCCGAACTACTGGTATGCACACCTTGTATCCCTACATACCTTAATCCAACCCTCAACAGACTTTCAAATCGACCATAAACCAACCCTAAATATAACCACAAATAGCCTTAAATAACCCTAAATTACCCAAAACCAACCATAAACCAACCCAACATAACCGTCCCTAAATAACCCCCAAACCAACCCTAAACTAAATAACCCTAAACCAATCCTAAATAAACCCTAAACGAACCCTAAATAAACACTAAACCAACCCTAAATAAACTTCAAACCAGCCAGCAGTATGATAGCATCCAATGCCACTATTTAGACCCAACACGGTTGAGCTTCAACCTATATTCTACATGTTCACCAGATGCATGTTATGCATGGAAAAACCGATCGAAACCATAGAAAAATCAATTGAAACCATGGAAAACTCAATGAAAACTATGGAAAAATCGATGAAAACTTTGGGTGAATCAATGAACACCATGGAAAAACCGGCAAAAACCATGGAAAAATCGATGAACAGTGCAAATGGCACATTTTAGCTCCAAAATTCAGCAAAGTACAGGTTTTTGCTCCAACATGTAGCACATAGCAAGGAAAAGTGCCCCAGACTGAAAAACACAAACAAATCAAAAAAAAAACACATCTGCACCCTTTTCAGGTGTTTTCTGTCGTCACCTGTCTTGGAAACAAACCTGCGAACACCAAAAGCAATGGAACAATCTATAAGGGAATTGTTAAAGTTAAAGCCAACGCTAGGGTCCAGAGTTTTTTTTGCTGGATTAAGGCATTGGGCAGCAAAATCACAAATTCGACAAATTGGTGCGTGTTGATGCCAGTTCTTCCAAAAACATTTCAAACCAGTGGTTTTTGTCAACTACCACTTTTTGTGGTCGACTCGCAAAAGTGTGCAACAACCGCAGCAAGCAACAATTTTTATGGACGTTTGAAGATCCAGGCTACTACTGTACTTTATAGATATTTTGAATCAAGGCAATGTAGAGTGAGAGAGTGAGAGAGAGAAAGAGAAAGAGAAAGAGAAAGAGAAAGATAAAGAGACAGAGAAAGAGAAAGAGAAAGAGAAAAAAACAGATAAAAAGAAAAAAAGAAAGAGAAAGAGAAAGAGAAAGAGAAAAAAAAATAAAGATAAAGAAAAAGAAAAAAAAAGAGAACGAGAAAGAGAAAGAGAAAGAAAAACAGAAAGAAAGAGACAGAGATATTTTGAATGATATCGTTGTTTGCGGAGCGTTTTTTCGGCAAAGATGTTGAAGTCAAGTTGGTTTTGAGCTATATTTGCAAGATCATTCAGCATCCCTCTTCATCTCAAAATGGATCAACATAGATTTTGGTGAAACTAATTCACTCATGATTGAATAATTTTTTGCCCGGCATTTCCCGCCTGAGATTGAAATGATTGATGGTTCATACAAATGTCATATATTGTCATATCAAATGTTTCAGAATTGGATGAAGAAAAAATCTGCAGGAAACCCTGTATTTGATGAGAAACACTAGTTTCGTCTTGAATTTCCTTTTGACCCATCCATTGATTTTCTCAGGTTCTTGCGTTTCTTTTTGCGGTGTCCCTTCTCGTTGGGCTTGCAGCGCTTCGAGCGGAGTATTCCAATGTCCTGCCGTGCCTCCACTGGATGCAACTGGCCAGAGGTTTCTCAATGTTTTTTTTCCCTCTCCATCAAAGACAAGGCCTAAAATCACTTAAAAGCACCTGGTTCACGGTTCGTGGCTGCATTCCCACCCTAAAATGTTTTCGGATCATTTCTCATTTACTTTCATGTTGTTTGGGTTTTGTGTGGCGGAAACCAACCAGGTGGGCTGCACTATCCCTGATATTCTTGGCAACAATTCGGTTTGCGACTGTCCATGGACTTGCGCTGATGAAGCCCCGCAACAAGAGTACAGGGGACAGGTATATCCGGTGAACTGTGACTTAGTCATTGGTTGATGGGGATGTTTTGGCAATGCCCCAAATACAACTTTGTAGAATATGTTGCGGTCATACTGCCTAGTTGTCATGCTTTATTTCTTATGATATGCCACCCTTAAGAACCATTTTTTTCATGAGAGCCCATATAAACCACCAAGTATTATGGGGTGATGTTCAAATAAAGTTGGCATTGCATGTGCGGGATGACGTTGTTTAAAAGACCATTCCGTACCAGTACCAGCCACTGTCCTGATGGCAAATGTTGGTTTCCAGGATCATGGTTGGCTTTATCGACGTGTGATATTTCACCAAAAATATCAGCCCCGCAACCAGGTGATGTTTGCCAGTGCCCGACCGCGTGCCAACAGCTCCACAACTATTACTATGCTGAATATTCGGATGAATTTAGAGGCCGGCGGTTTCCCATTTTGCCCGGCTTGCCAGGTGAAGGTCCCTAGATTTTGACAAGACATCCTGGAGACACGCACACAGAGCCACGCCCACACCCGCACCAATGGATGAGTCATTCACTTGATTCACTTGCCACCTTCCTCGCCATCACGTCATTACCAACTTGTTGGCCAGTCTGTAGCAGCCAGCTCCCTGCCAGACCCGAAAATCATGCTGGATAAAATGCCAGATAGAATGCGAGATAGATTCATTTCATTTCATTTCATGCGATGAAAGGATCGTACCCTTGCTGCAAAAACATGCAAGCTAAAGTAATTAGAGATCCTGAAAGTCTGGCAACCATTGCGCACCAGTACGGATCTCAGAACACTCACGAGCAGCATTCCGAATCCATTCATCCAGAGCTTCCAGTGTGGCCGGGTCAGCCCTAGTGCGACCACCACTAAGAAACCTACCAAATTGCTGGCCTACTGAGAAAGCAAGAGCACGGCAGAATAACCCAGGATATTCCTTATGCCTGGCTGTACGAAACTGCCCAGTGCTATCTGTACCGATTGCTGCAACAGTAGGTTTAGCCACGTCGCTAAGAGCAAGACTATACATATCTCTGCGAAAAAATGGCATATCCCACACCAGTAAACCTGTAGGTTTTTCTGCACCCCAACGGTATTGTGCCACACAATGTAACACGAGGTCTGGCAACCCCAACAGCAGCTGAATGATTGGACTCGTCCAGATGCTAGGGCGGCTCACCTCTGTAGGGGGAGCAGGATGTTCTGCTACATAAACTCCACCCATGGTAATGTGGATGCATAGAGCCCAAACACATTGGAGAAAGAATGAGCTCCCCACAAAGCATTGCCTAAGTTCCTTCATGCTAAGGCCTTCAAGGCCAAACAGCCGCTCCGAAGAGCGTAGAGGTCTAGGCCAGCGTATATGTCCGGGGCAATCAGCAGGTTTGTCCATAAACCTTGCCTCGCTGAAAGTCTCACACGGCGGCCCACATAGGGTCGCCGCAATTCTGCCAGACAAATAGATGGAAGTTAATGTAGTCCATGATACTGTATGACGCATGAGATTACCGAAATCAACTGAAACTGCTGTATCCAAGGAAAGGATTACCACTCTCCAATTCTTGTCAGCTGCAAACCGGCAAAGCTCATGGTGAAAGTCCCCTTCCCGTCGACGGCCACTAAATAAATGGGCTACCAGGAAAGTAGGTAAATCATCTAAGCTCTTGTAACGGGGGCAAGACTGCAACTCTGGAGCTTCTTCTAGACCACTGCCTCGAATCTGCTCTAACCATTGCGTCTGCTCCCCGCAGGCACGAGGAACCTTATGAGATACTTTCGAATTTCGTTTAGGATGGCAAGAGAGATCAATTTGACGCGGCTTGCGATGAGGTGCAGGTTCAGTCTCCACACAATGGCGAAGGCATGACTCCAAGTAGGAGATACGTGCTAGGACCTGATATCTCGGGAGCTCGACGGCAAACTCGGCAAAAAACTCGTCTACCACATATGTTTTTTTTCCTTATCCATGAATGCAGCAATCAACTCCGGCAGCCAATGGTCACCCCATGCCAGAAAGACAAAGGCCAACCAATTATCATATGCAGGATTGTTCTCTCCAAACTCAATACATAGGATTTGAATCCATTGGTCAATGAGCTCCTGCTTCTCATCAGGAGAAGGCCCCTGCGGATAATGCTTCCGAAACCAATTCTGCGTTGCATCTGATAATACATCACCGATCTGTGCACCTATCTCCAACGCTGAAGGCGGCATCGCATGTATCTCTAATTGATTTTTACATTCCTCCAGCTCCTGCTGCCAAACCTGACGTTTTTGCGTAAGAACAGTAATCTGTTCTGTCTGCGGTCCAAGGGTAGGCAAACTTTCCCTTCGTGTCAACCCCTGGACATGCTTCGGGAATGAGACAGCTTCATAAGGAACCTGTCTTGCCTGGGCAGTAAGAGCCTGAAAGCAAGGATTGAAACCTAACTTCTTAGGAATGTAGGCTAGATGCTGTTGGAGACGCTGGGTCGTCCAACAGAAGCGTCCGCAGTGCAAACCGACAGCTCCTTGTAAAAACTGGCGTTCCTGGGAGAAAATCTCATACTTTACGTTGGTGGGCCAAGAGACCACGGTAAGTAGTGAAGCTAATGCCACAAAAACATGGATGAAATTCGTAGTTTCCCGAGAGGGGGGAGATGAAAATACTCGATCAACTCCTCACCTTTGCATGAGTATCTATGATGTTGTATCCAATGACTGTAAAGTGTACAAGATGTCATTTGGTATCAGCACGGAATAGACGAATCAATAGGTTATCTGTCAATGATAACATGTTCTTTTATCCTGAAATCCGGGATGAAAACTCAAGACTTGGCCAACGATGTTTGGCCCAAGATGCCCGCATAAAAGTGTGCTAGCCTTCGCAATCACTGGGCTGCATTTGCATTGGTGTCTTGAACATACAACGATATTGCCATTAGACTTCGCTAATCACTGGTTTGTGGCATTCCTCTATTGGTCATCAGCTTCGCGAATATACTGGCTGTGACCGATTTATCTTCTAAGCTACGAATTGAACCTGAGACCGGTTTGGGTCTCTACCTTGGTTGTTTGCTAAGCAAAGGAATATCGCCTGCATGATGGCACAGAGGTCACAACCATGACCTACAACATGGAGGGTCTCCTTAAGCTCTCCGTTGAAAAGTATCTTGAACTTGTGGGGAAAGATACTAAGTTAAAACAAGTCTCAACTCCAAGCCTCCCTGAAGAGACTAAACAACATAAGTCTCGAGCACCAGCACCTGGGGATCCTAAGCATGCGGTTCAATGTCCCTGGTGTTCTACAAAGTTCGATCCTGGATCGTCGGTTGCCTTACAGCCCGATGCCTCCGATTCTCGGCCGGAATCTGTTGAAGTCCAACGAGGTGCACTACCTCCTCATGCTGCTAGCATCTTGATGAAGCTCTTGTATGCAGCAAGGATCGCCCGATTTGATTTGTTGAGATCAATCAATACATTAGCACGCAATGTGACGAAATGGTCCATTCAAGATGATGCCACATTATACCATCTGATGTGCTATGTCAACTCTACCTTAGGGAAGAGATGATTGGATGGGTCAGGAATGACATGAAAGATCTATCCATTGCGTTGTATGCAGATGCTGACTTTGCCGGATGTGCACAGTCATTGAGGTCCACTTCAGGTTCTCATATGCATATTCAGGGGAAACGTACTCGGTTTCCGTTAGCTGGTGGAAGCAAACGCCAGGGGTGTGTGAGCCATTCTACACCTGAGGCTGAGATCGTAGCCGCTGATGTAACCCTTCGAACAATGGGTCTTCCTGCACTCAGTATTTGGGAAACGCTTACAGATTCATCTCCCAAGTTATTGTTTCATGATGACAATCAAGGGGTGATTGGTGTGGTTCGTTCTGGACGGAATCCAACAATGCGGCATTTAGAAAGGACTCATGGAATTTCTATTACGTCATTACATGAGCATTTCAGCAAAGATCACTTCGTTCTCATGTACGAGATCACAGCGAAGATGGCCGCGGACATCCACACAAAAGGTTTTACAAACCCCCTGGCCTGGAAGAAGGCTTGTATGTTAATCAACCTTTTGGAACCCGAAGACCTTGGTTCGAAGCAATTGGCAGACTTAGTGCAGCCTACTACAGATGTTGACACTACAGTTCGGCAAGTTTTTCAATCAAGGACGGATGAGGTTCCCATCTTTCCATACACTGAAACACCCATACTGCCACCTGAGGTGTATCGTAAGGGTCTTTCAAGTCGAGAAAAGCTACAAGAACTACCTGGTATGGATCCTATTTTTGTGGTCAAAAAACCTACTTTATTCCGAACAAGACCAGCTGGCGTCAAGCTACCTGCAGATTGCCTTCGGACTTCGGAGCACCTGGATCTTAGTCCATGGGAAGTGGGAACAGGTTGAGGATCGTGTTCCACCATTGTTACAACAATCACGTTTTGACAAATGGATCGAATGGGCATGTTTCCAGTATCACCATCCTACTTCCGCTCCGGTTGTCTCACTGCCCGTAAGCATGTCCGCGGCGGCCAGTTCTCGGTTCCAACGTGCGTCGACGTCGGAACTGAGCAATCCGAGCCTCACATTCAGTACTGAAATTCTCTTTGAACAAGCTCAACGTCATCAGAAGATCAGATTCCGTATTCACTATATGAAGGGAATCCCATGACTATTAGGGTGATCAATGCCCTGGTACGCCTTGTTCATGGGGGGAGAGGCATGGAGGATTCGAAACAGTTCAAAGATCACAAGAAGTTCAACGACTCATTTTCAGAACTGTTGAAGTTGAAAAAGCCGCCTATACGGAGAAGGAATATCAAGACAATAGCATCAGCAACGGAATGTGGTCAAGATGAAGTACATGTTCGTGATGAATGGAGATGGGTAGGAGACCATATTTTGGAAAGGATCCACAACTTGCCAAGAAGAGAGATGTTCGTTCCAAGTGATTGTGATGATTGTCCATGTGATCATCGTTTGATTCAAGATTGGAGAGAAACTCAATTGAAGTTCCAGTCGAATGTGAGGATGGACAAGAGTAATTGGCGTCTCCCTGGTAACAATGGAGAAAGGTCAAGCAATCGAAATGAGTTCTGGACTGGAAAGTCTATCTTTCGTGTTCTAAGACATCAGGAAGTTCTTCCGGTTGCGAGTTGCATTATGCATGATAATCTGATGGCTTGTGTCAACACCAAGGGTCTGGATATCATTGGATATCATTTCTCCCAACAAAATATTTATCCCTCACACATATCGGATGGTGATCGAAGAGAACAAGAACAAGAACAAGAATGAGTTGAATGTGTTTGCAGACAGTTTGATCAATCTGGAATTGGTTCGTGACAATGGGCAATGCACGAAGTATTCGTTCTACAGGTCTATTCACGATCTCGACAATACAAAGTTTTTGGGAAAGAACATTACTATTAC